AAAAAAAAAAGAGAGAGAGAGAGAGAGAATAAAAATATTATGAAAAAGAAAATCTCTTTAAGAAGAGAATCTCACAAAAGGAATGGAAACCGTTTGGAGCTGGATGCATTTGGTCCAAAAACCAACTCTTCATTTTTCCCTATTACTGAACCCCGATCCATTTATTTGCCACTCAAAAGAGGTTCAATGGATTGAGGATATAATTGTTGGGAAAATCTGAACACCATTGGCTCTCACCAATAATATTAGCCATTCAGATCTGTGGATCTTGGTGTAAAGCCAGCCTGGTCAGAAAAGTCTATGAGAGTCTTATCTCCAACTAATCAGATGGTTATTATGCTAACCAATGGTATTATGCCAGCCTTAAGCAAAGAAGCTAAATTAATTCAAGCATACACACACACACACACACACACACACACACACACAAATTGTTGAGGAAGGAAAAGAATAATTTCAGGAGGCCAGCAAAACAGATACAATAGGCAGGTGGCCTAAAACACCATAATACAAGTTTTAGGCTCTTTTCTTTCATCTTTATGCAAGGTAGGAAGAGAATTCCTTAGGTTAGGAAATCATTAACAAAACCTAGTGGCTAGGAATCTGCTGATTTGGCATATCTTGGCATTATGTGTCTTAAAAAGGGAGGAGAGAGTCGGGTACCAACCTGGCACTGCTAGTTTAAATGATTAACAAGAGCTGTGTGTTCAAAGAGGCATATGCCTTTTTCTTTTTTCTTTTTTTTTCTTTTGCAAAAGTCAGAAGCATAAAAAGCTTTGGGCTGAGTTTTCTTTGACCTATCCCTGCCCATTTTGGATTCCCTGCCAAACTGGAGGGAGGAGCCAGAACAGGAAGCACACTGGGCTTGCTACAAGTCTCTAGGTGGTCACAGAGAGAGAAACAGCGTTTGCCTCCATCCACTCTTGCAAAAGACCGCAGGGAAGCCAGGGTCCCAGATGCACAATCACGCACTCACCATAAGGTGATTGACAAGGGTAAGTGACAAGGTTTGTTTTTGTATAGTACAGACTCTGCTTGTAATGACTCCAATTGACTCCATGGACATGAGAACCTCTCAAAGTGCCTTCTGCCTGCTGAAGGTCATGGACCTCTGGCCTCATGGTAATTTGAGCCTCTAACAGTGTCATACCCAGATAGCTCCACCCTACTTCCTTGGAATGTACTGTCCCTGCTCAGTGACCCTTTTGCAGGCCCTGGAGCTGCTAGCTCTCAGCTAGAACTTGAAGGTAAGAATGGGTTTGTTTAAGTAATACTTTATGTAGCTCTTTAGTGTATTTCTTCCATCTTTAGTCAAGTACGTGTTATTGTATAATTTGGTCAAGTCAAAAAACCTAAGGAACCAGAAAAAAAAAAAGTCAGCAAAAATATATGTGTGGCTGGTTGCTACTGGTGGCTCATACCTGCAATCTTAGGTATTCAGGAGGCTGAGATCAGAGGATTACAGCTCAAATCCAGCCTGGGGAAGGAAAATATGTAAGAGTTTTTCCTCCAGTCAACCCCCAAAAAGCCAGAAGCAGAGATACGGTTCACGCCATAGAGTACTAGCCTTGGATGCAAAAGCTCAGAGACAGCACCCAGGTCCTGAGTTCAAGCTTGGGACCAGCATACACCAAAAAAAAAAAAAAACAATGTTTTTAGATACGTGTAACCAAAGAACTCCTGCCTAGGTTAGATCTAGAAATCTAAGCTGTAGCTTCCAAAAGCTCTCCCTGCTCAAAATACCAACTCTCTTTTTCTCAGAAGCCTTTTTTCCTTCTCCCACCAGAACAAGTTGAACTTTGGCCTTGGCTACTTTGTGTGTGTGTATGTGTGTGTTTATGTGTGTGTGCGTGCATATATGCCAGAACTAGAACTTGAACTAAGAGCCTAGGCACTGTCTCTTGGCTGTCCCTTGAGGCTAGTACTCTACCACTTGAGCCACAGCTTCACTTTCAGCTAGTTGCTGGTTAACTGGAGGTAAGTCTCATAGACTTACTTGCTCAGGCTGACTTTAAGCTGTGATCCTCAGATCTCAACTTCCTGAGTAGCTAGGATTACAGGCAGGAGCACCATCACCTGGCTTGGACTATTTTCTCTGTCTGTGAGGATGCTCTTTCCATCCTGAGCTTTCAACAACGCATTTCTTTTATGGCTAGAGAAGTTGAGCATTTCTTCATGTGTCTATTGGCCCTTCTTATTTCCTCTTTATAGAAGTCTCTCTTTAAGTCTTTAGCCCACTTATTAATGGGGCGATTGTTTCTTTGAGGATTTGTTGTTGAGAGATTTAATTTTTTTGAGTTCTATGTATATTTTAGATATGAGACCCTTGTCCATTGTATGGCTAGTGAAGATCTTCTCCCAATCCATGGACTTTCTGTTGATCTTGCTCTAGGCAGACAAATCTGAGAGACTGATCTCCAGTTAACTAGCAAAAAGTTGGAAGTAAAGTTGAGCACAAATGAACAAAAAAGCCTAGCAAATGTTCAAAGCTGTGAGTTCAAGCCCCAGCACCAGCACACACACACACAAAAAATACAAATATTATATTAATTACTTTATTTTAATGCTTTTTACTGTAAAAATACTGTACAGAGGGGTTACAGTTACATGAGCAAGGTTATGAGTACATTTCTTATCAAGCATTGTCACCTCCTCCTCCTTTGTTTTTCCCCTATCATCCCTTATCTCCCACTTCTACAACTACACGCCTACCCCGCCCCCACGCCCAAACATAGTGTTGTACATTTTGTTATTTACTTATATAAAGCATCTCAAGGTCATAGATATTAGAAGGTGAATGGTGGCTACCGTGAATTGAGGGAGCGATGAGGAGTTGGTGTTAACAGAGACAGAGTTCTGCTGGGAAGATTTTAAAAAAAGTTCTAGAGATGGATGCTGGCAATGGGGACACAACACTGTAAATATAACTAATGCCACTAAAGTAACTACATATCTACACATAGTTACAATGGTCAGTATCATATTGTGTGTAATTTACTGTAGTTTCTTTTCTCTTCTCATAGGGACCCTCCACCTGGAGACACTATGGCCCAAACCCCACAGTTGAGGAAAGAAATCGTAATAAGAGAGATAGAGGGGGTTCCTCTGTTACAGGCAGCAGCGGACAACTGGAGCCATATCCAGAACTTTCAGGCCAAGCCAGATGATCTCCTCATCTGTACCTACCCTAAATCAGGTGACTTTGGGACCTCCCCCGTTGAGCCAGCATGCCTGAGCTGCTTACCTAAGTTAGATTCCCCACTATGCAAGGAGCTGAGATCTGCAGATCAAGGTTCAAAGGCAGCTTGCTTGGACAGGAAAGTCCATGAGTCTCCTACCTCCTATTTATCACCAAAAAGCCAAAAGTGAAGTTGTGGCTAAAGTGTAGGGTACTAGCCAAGAAAAAAAAAGCCAAGCAAAATCTCAAGGCCCTGTGTTCAAGTTCCAATACCAGCACATACACACACACACACACACAATTAAACTTGCAGTCTCCACTAATTCACACATGCTCAGATGCATGGTAACCTGGGTTTTCTGAGGACCAGAGAAGTAGTTATGGAACCTTGCCTGCTGTCCTCTGCCAGGCACTGCTCTTGAGCAGCTGTGAGCTTTGCCTCTGCATTCTGCTCCTTGCAGACAGTTTTCTCCATTTGTCCTGGGTATCAGGACTCTGACCTAAGGGCAGATTGTAGTCACCAACTGCCTACTTGCCCCTTTGCTTGCTTGGAACATGCAGCAAAGATTACCTAGCAAGGTTTTGCTCCTCAACCCTCCCCTGTGACCCTCAGGAACAACATGGATCCAGGAAATTGTGGATATGATTGAACAGAATGGGGATGTGGAGAAGTGCCAGCGAGCCCTCATTCATCATCGCCACCCTTTTATTGAGTGGGCAAAGCCGCCCCAGCCCTCAGGTGAGAATCTCTCCCACTCCCTGTAGCCTTCCTTCTTCTCCAGTCTCTATCCTCCCTGCACCAACCCTTCTGTTTCTTTATCTCTCTTTTCCCCTCTACCCCTTCACCCAAAGTGAATCACCAAGTATTCTTACTTGGTGACATGGCTCAAGTAGTAGAGCAAGCAAGAAAGCCCAATGCTGTTAAAGGAAGGAAAAGAGGGAGGGCGTAGGAAAGGAGAGGAAGGAGGAAAGGAGAGGAAGGAGGAAAGGAAGGAAGGAAGGAAGGAAGGAAGGAAGGAAGGAAGGAAGGAAG